TAAATTAAAAATAATGAGCAATCAATAAATAAAATACTTTTTTATTATATAAATAGTAACTTGAAAGATAGTGTAATAATATCATGTAATAAAGTGAAAAGAAAAAGATAAACTGTAGTTATGTAAAAAAAAAATACGTGTAATTTTTTATGTATGACTGTGTGATAAAAAATGTGTATTGTAATACAGAGAAAGAGATAATAACATGTTACAAGAACATCTTAATTACTATTAAAGAGTCAATAAAGAGGCATTGCATCCAAAAATAAATAAATAAATAAATAAAGAGGCAATATTCAAATGAACATTATAAAAAAAATAATGAGCACTATTTATTGTTTTTCTCTCTCCATATTGTTCACCTACTTGGAAAAAGAGTCAATAAAAAGAGTAATGAATACTGTTTTTTTTTTTCTCATGTTCACAACTTCACATATACCGAACTCAAGTACTACTGGATTTGGTGCCCCTTAATTGAGTTGGGCCCTGGGCCATAGCCCAGGTTGCCCTGGGCCAGGGCCGACCCTGTATGTTGATTAGAGAAATAATTAGAGATCATATTCTGATTATCTAACAAGTAAGGAAAGATAGGTTATTAGGTTTACCAATAACCATAACCAATTTAATCGATAACTGGGGAATTATCTTTGCATCCGTGATCGAATCGTTGAACCATCTCTACGGGTTCTTCCATTGGTTGGGTATTTTGTCAATTTGGTTCACTTGTTTTGTTTTTGTCTTTCTTTAGATCTTATTTTATTTTTCTTAGTTAGATAAAATCATCAACCCTCCCCCCTTCCCTTATCATTTTTTTTTCACAAATAGTTGCATCGATACTATGTCTAGTCAATCTCTGTGGATACAACTTTCCTTACCACTACTACAGTTATTTGAGAAGCAAAAATTTATTATTGTTGGATTTGCACCCATCGATTTACGTGTCCAGAATTTTGATCTAAGCAAGGTACCTTGGTGGCGCCTCCTACTCTCCCGGGTTTTTTGGCACATTGAATATGGGAAGGTGCCAGGTTCAGGCATCCAAGTCCATGTCAGAACAAGTACATGTAGGTGGAAGAGAGAGAAATAATTATTTATTATTGAGTTGAGTTGAGTTGGATTTTGGATAAATGTAGTCTTAAAGCTCCTTAGCTAAAATTGCTAGGGATAACATTGGACGTTCGAATTAAATACTTAAGGGAAGTTCCGTGAAAAAATATAGGCTAAACTCATTACTAAGTTTATTATTATTATTTTTTTTGGTTATCTAAGTTTATTATTTAATTCTGTCTCCACGTCTATACCTTCTAACTTTCTCTCTCTCCTCGTTTCGTCCCCCCAAATCGAAACAAAAAAGAAAACCCTCGCCGGCCTGTAACTGAGGTGCCTCCCCTCCAGCGACCTCTTTCTCTTGCGATCCAGGCGAGCATCGGGCTTGTCCTACGTTCTCCGGCGCTGGCGTGGTGGCCGTTTCGTTTCTTCCTCCCCATTTCGTCTTAGGGATGTAGATTATGGAGATTCTTCCGAGTGTTCGAGTCTCGGTGTTTGCTTGTTTGACCGGAGATGGGTTTGGAGTCCGGTGGGAAGGGTTTTCTATTTATATTCTTTTTGTGTTTTTTATTTTGTGTTTTATGTGTTGTTGGTTTGTGTCCCTATTTTGTTTTGTGTTGTTTTTGGTTTCCCCAGTTGGGAGCTTCTCTGCTTGTGGGAGTTTTTTCTGTTTTTTTTCTTTTCGGTTCTCCCAGTTGGGAGCTTCTCTTCTTGTGGGAGTTTTTCTTTCTCCTCTATTGGGAGCTTGTAGGTTGTTTTCATGTGTTGTGTTTCGGTTGTTGTTGGTAGGTTGGATATAGACTACATTGTGTAGCTCTCCCACCTAGACTCAGCTGGTTGGCTGGCTTCTCAGCAAATTTGTTGTTTCTAGTTTGTATCTGTGTGTTTTTATTTATAGAACCTATCGTTTGGAAAAAAAAAAAGTTTATTATTTAAGACATCTAGTCAATAACTATTATAACATCCTATTATTAGTATGAAATGTAATTAATGGCCTTAGTTACAGTTTTTGGTAAGGGAAGATATGACAGGTAAAAAATTTCAAGAAACTTTTTTTTTNNNTTTTTTTAATTTCCGGTTTCAAAAAACATGATTTATATTATAGGTGGATAGATATACCAATTGATCTCCATTACCTCCCAGGAAAACTGCAGTTTCCTCCAGGTTTTCATATATAGCTTTTTTCCTTTAACGTTGTTTTTCTCGAAATCTTTTCCTATCATCAAATGCTGAAAACCTAACAGACTATAGCAACACAAAATTAGAAAGTCACATTAATGATTTCGACTAATGGAGTGGAATGCATAACCGCTTAGCGGATATGAAATCAGGTTCATTTTGTCGACTTTCTACAACCTCGCTCTTTTCCATGCTCATCATTAGGCATCATATTGTGCTAAAATTGGTATCATATTGGCTAGAATTGGTATCATCCCCATAATCCTAAGGCTTCACATAAAAATGCAAGGGTGGGAGAATACTTCCTTCATTCATCTTTCGAGCATATTGGAAAGGAAATCATTCCTCTTTTCGAGCGTAAACCATCCAAGTTTTCTACCTTGTAATCAGATATATGAAGCCCAAGTGGGGTTCCATCCCAAAACTAAGTTTTGGGATGGAACCCCACATGGGCTTCATATGGGCTTTCCCGCTTATGGTGCGCTTCATGTGAGTAGGACCGCACTCGTTTTCCCCTAGTTTCTTACATGGTATCAGAGCCAGTTCTATTGGGATCGTGCGATGACGTACCCGTTTATGGGAGTTTGCTTCCTCACGTACCCGTTTATGAAAGTCTGCTTCTAGTAGGCTTGGAGCACCCAACCCAGTTGGGCTTGGGCTTCTGAAGACTCACAAGTGAAGGGGCGTGTTAAAATATCACTTGTGAGTTGTCCACATCGTTCATACATTGAAAATAGTCTCACCTTATAAGTCTAATGGGCTACTCCTCCTTCCACCAATTGGTTTTGGGATGGAACCCCACTTGGGTATCATATGAGCTTTTCCCGCTTATGGTGCGCTTCATGTGAGAGGGACCGCACCCGTTTTCCCCCAATTTCTTACAAGATGGATGATCAGCTAGACGGTTCGACCAATTATAATTTTTTTAAAAAACATGAATACTTATACTATAATTAACTATCCTATTTATCTCTATATTCTTTTCTAAAGTACCATATTTTTTTCTTATAAGATATACTAGTACAATACCCGTGTATTATACTGGTGATTGATAAAAAAAATGAAAAGATGAATTATATATTTTGTTGAAGTTGGAAAAATTAAATAAAGAACAATATATAACAATTTATAATAAATAACTAAGTAAATTAATATATACAAATATTTTAAATTCTAGAAACTAATTTATAATATACATCGTTAATTTTACTTATAATTGTTTTAAATACATAATATGAACAAAGCACAAAATTTGGAAAGTAAGATTATATGCACATTATAGAAAGAAGATAATAAATAAATTTATATAAATTAATTTAAATATATTAAATATGTGTATATATATGGTAATCCGAACCTAAGTTATTTGGTATAAAAAAATAGTAATTTTTATCCAAACCACATTACAAAGCATAATATTTTGTCTTATAAGATTATGAAACATGCGAAGTTGCCTTAAACTCAAGAGTTCTGAAATAATATATAAGGGGAAAGCGAGGATATCTTTAAGAAAACGGTGTGTCAGACTATATATGTATATATTTTAGGAAGATGCTGTGGTTTCATTACAAAACTATTCCGTTGAGTTGTAATCATTAGATCAACTATCTATGACTGTTACATGATGATCTAACGGTTACAAATCCTGACGGAATGATTTCATAACCGACCTTAGCATTTCCTTATATTTCGAGGATGGGGTTCGCATCAAAGAAAAACAATATCCACTGTGCATTGAAATTTTCAAGCAAGTAGCATAATTGCATATGATTTCTCTAAGTGAGTGGGAACTCATCGAGTATATATGATGATGAGCTTGTCCTTTTTTTGGCCTTTATTAATTTTCTCTACTTTTGTAAAGTGTGACCGGAAAAGAATCTTATTCTACCAATCCCACATATCCAACCGTTGGATCATTGAACCCAATCAACAATCATTTTCTTTATAATATATATACAACATTACTCACTTCTTTTACACTCACCTGCAAAACTCATAAGGAACTATATCTTTCTTTAAAGAAAAAAAAA